CATTTACCTTCTCAGCTTATTTAAACAATCCTAATCAGGTTCTATATTCATTCAAGATACATTGTTACGTTTATGAATTTAAGCATTACCGCAGGATAAAATTTAATCATATGATCTGACATAAATTGTATCATCCCTATATTAGTTATCAGTAAGGGTATCTGCTATACAATTTTGTGCCCTACGGCCTTATTTTATTTATTCAAATTATGAAAAACTGCGTCGAAATATCAGATAAGATACAAATTTACAATAAACTATTATTTTTCACAATTAACTAAAAAATATATTTTATCTTTTTTTGCTCGTGATAATCTATTCAGTTTAAGTTGCTTAATACAATAAACCAAATTGATTTTTGCATGCCACCAAGCGGTGAGAAAATACAACTTGAAGATGGTTTTTAAATTTCGTGGATTTTATTAAAATATTTGGTTCATTTGTAAAGCTATTATCGAATCATATTCGTTTTGCAATATTCTAGATTTAAGCTATTGTTTGAATCAAAAATAATTATAGAGAGAGTTTAATAATTTAAACATGAATAAAATGTACAATAGTTATTATCTCTGATAAAATTTTACTTTGATTGCCCCTAATATTTATAAAATTGCCCACAAAAAATATAAATTCTTGAATGAAGGTAACAAACTTGAATTTGGATCTATATATTTTACAGAACCTGTAATCCATATAAGCTCAGTCAAGTTTTTATCTGTCATTAAAACTAAATCAATCTTTACCCATTATGATTTCTGTGCAATGCTTCCAAAAAGATACATTTAGGAAGAAAGGGGACAAGGGTTGTAACGAGGGAGAAGGAAAAAAGGGGAAAGGTTGTTGGGGGGTTGGGGATAAATAAAGCTACGTAGATTTATAAACTATATGTTTGTAAATAAAGCTACGTAGATTTATAAACTATATTTTTGTAAATAAAGCTACGTAGATTTATAAACTATATTTTTGTAAATAAAGCTACGTAGATTTATAAACTATATTTTTGTAAATAAAGCTACCTAGATTTATAAACTATATTTCTGAAAAGCCCTTTAAAATGGAAATAGAAACACGTATCACTATACTGAAGGATTCATTCATACTCCGGATTCATCCTTACTCCAGAAGTGATACTTACGCAAGGATTCATCATTATTCCAGAATTCATCCTTGATCCAGGATTCATCCTTAACCCAGGATTCATCCTCACTCCAAGATTCTTTCTTACCCCAGGATTCTTCTCCGCTCCAAGATTCTTTCTTACTCCAGGATTCTTTATTACTCCGGGATTCATTCTTACTCCGGAGTAAGGATAAATTCTGGAGTAAGGATGAATCCTGGAGTAAGGATTAATCCTGGAGTACAATTGAATCCTGGAGTAACTTTCTTTGCAAAATATATAAACAATTTTGAGTTAAACCAATAGTTTCAACGTAGCAATGTCAATCCCTTTAGAACTAGATGATGAACGATGAAGACGTTGATAATGGTATGTCGAATTATATGTTAAAACAAATTATGCTAACCTTAAAGTATGTTGAATCAATGGAGGTTCTATAGTATAGTTGAATTGGTTTAAAAATTACAACAATATAAGCGTCCATTTGTTAGCATCTGGCTATGTAACAGGAGAAAAGTTAAATATTTTATCAGAAATAAAGCATGTGTTCGTTTATCAAAATTTCATATATTTGTATATTATTGTGGCGGCGTAGTGGCGGAAGACGAGACTTCTGAGGAGTTTTGAACCTAAGATCTAGACGCGGCAAGATGAGCAACTTCCGGCCACGTCACCTATCTACCTATTAAATATTTTACGTTCTTAGAAATTTAAGTATATAAAGTTAGTAATAAAGTAATTATTTAACCAGGCGTTTTGTTAAATTGAGCGTAGCTAAATTATATTAGATAAATGTTTAATTTGATTTACATTTATAAAAATGAGCGTTGTTGCCGCGGAAATTCAGATGCGTAGAGACTAGACTATGCCAATTCAGATGCGTAGAGACTAGACTATGACCATTTTTTAACAATGACCCAAAAGTAATGCCACACCAGCGAAAGTAATGTCTATCTCCATTTAAAAGATATTTTAAAAAAAAACCTTTCAGTGTTTAGATTTTTGTATTCGCCTACTTGAGTTGAACATTTTTAACAACACTAATTTCATGCATAGAATAGAAAGAACAACAAATTTAGAATAATCAGTCTAACTACTAGCAAAAAATGAAGTATTAAGTTTCACTAATTATTTCTAGCATTGTATGTGGCATATTTATAGATTTATTTTCGAAACTGAGGAGCAATAAAGAAAGCTTTAAAAATATTGTACACCATAGGGCTACAGAAGTCAATATGATGTTATTTCTAAGAAATAAACGATTTAATGTTAACATTTTTATTTCTGATTACAAATTAAGGTTTTGGAGATTACCAATTTAGGAGCGCGCAAGCTGCAAAACACGTTTGGGAGGGGGTGATTACTAATTGAGGACCTCTGTACTCCCCCCCCCTTGGCAAAACGGCTGGACCAATTAGCTGTCATTTTCTTGAGAGAACCCATGTGTACCGTATAACCCTAGGTGTAACATTGGCTAAACAATTTTAAATTTTCTTTCTCAATTATCATTTTTTTTCTTAAACCAAATATTTTCTTTTCGAACCGATTTTTTTAAAAAATACACAAGCAACATCGGGCACTACAGCTAGTTTTAAATATATTGTTTTTTAAAACAAAATTAAATGTATATGGGAAAGATTGATAAATTTAAAATAAAAATCTCCTTTTTTACAATTGAAATAAATATGAAATATATATTTTATCATCATGATTTACAAACAATATACCACTATAAATATTAAATAATCAAATTTAATAAAAAAGTATAAACTAAGTCTTTTAGATCTAATGTCAAGTCAAGGAAATATTTAATCCTGTCTTAAAATATTTTTGCATTGGTGTACGAAATAATACAAGTTATTTAAAGGGTATAGAAAAGGGGGGGTTCTGAAATCATTAGAGGCTAAAAAATGTATATACAATACAGCTGCTAAAGCATATTGACAAAAATCACAAAAATATATGTTTTTCCAAGAAAAAAAATTTAGAATAAAATAATTCTTGAAGGGACAGACCGGCTGTGTAAGGTACAGGGTGTCCTAATAAACATGGGAATTGAGAAACGACTTGAAAGTCGTCTTTGATTTCTGATATTTACTGCATGAAAAAGAAAGTAAAAAAAGGAGGCTGTACGTCTGACAAGATTTTTATAAAGTGGTCTACCTTTCTTGTAACTTAAAAATTGACAAAGATATTAGATATTAAGACAATTTTGATTTATTAAATAAATTGAAACTTTTACAAATTTCGCAAAATTTTCGTCAAATTTAAAGATACAAAAATGGTAGACCCAAATTTTGAAAATCTCAAGTCCAGGTGTTTTCGATAATAGATGTCTAAGCTGGAATACTGGAATAATTGTGTTCATGAAAAAATGCTGCATGTAACGAAGATGATTAAAAAGTTGTCACTGAATTCCCATGTTTATTGGGACACCCTGTAGTTAAATTGAGTATGCAGTGTTGTGGACAAATTCTTTAGGATTCATTTGAGACCTATAAAACGTTTCCACGATGTATAATTACTGAGTTTGAGCGCAAAGTCGACGTTCAACATCATGAATTTTCACAATTTGTCTTTTAAAATGATCAAATAACGAGGACGAAAAATAAAGTAAAAATTATACAGTAATCTAATTTGATGTTTAGGAACATATTTCTGAACAGAAATTTGTCAATAAATTATTGTTAGAATCAATTATTTCTTTTTCATCATTATATTGAATTTCTTATTTTCTATGAATTTGTTCGCAGATTTATACAAATTCTTCAAATGTCATCTTTTCAATGAAAATTCCAGTAAATCTGTAGAAAATATTTTTGAATTATCAGAGATTACAGAAACTAATAATTGAATAAGATTACTTATTTTCGATGATAAGATTACTTTTTATTTTCTCAACCTGTTCCTAATTAACTAATTAGTTTACTGTAGAATTTTGTTTACTTTTTTTGTCTTTGTTATTTAATAATTAAAAAAAAAAAAAAATTCTTGAACGTATCCTCCCAAAAATTCGATTTTGAACGTCGACTTTGTGCTCAAACTCAGGACTTACAGATATTTAAAAAGTTTTATATGTCTCAAATGAATCCTAAAGAATTGGTCTACACAACTACATACTCAGTTCAACTACCTTACATAGCCGGTCTGCCCCTTTAAACTGAAGATATTTTTGCCTGCCAAAGTGTTTTTTTGTACAGCATCAAGTTTTTTGTGTTTGATTTTAACACTAACATTCAGCATAGAGAGAGGCCAATTCTTTAAGAATGAATTTTCATGTGATTTGTAAGAATTCATTTTTTCACAAAATTATATAAAAAATTATTACTAAATATACTGATCAAAGTAAAAAAGTAAATTGTGAACATGAATATCCTGTTATTTTTATAAACCATCAGTAAAAGCCCTCTAATATCAAAGCTCTGCCCCGAAAACATATTCTTTTTTTTTGAAAATAACCTTTCTTAAAGTTTTTTTAATTATCTGAGAAATTTTTCTAAGAAAAATTTTTATTCAAATAATCAAATAACCTGGTCTGTCAGTAATTTATAATATTCAATCTGCATTTAAGTATTTGGTAATCTTCAGTCTACATCTAAGTATTTGGTAATCTTCAGTCTGTATCTAAGTATTTGGTAATTTGCAGTCTGTTTCAGAGTATTTGGTAACCTTCAGTCTACATCTAAGTATTTGGTAATCTCCAGTCTACATCTATTTATTTTGCAATCTTCAGTCTGTATCTAAGTATTTGATAATCTTCAGTTTACGTCTAAGTATTTGGTAATCTTCAGTCTACATCTATGTATTTGGTAATCTCCAGTCTACATCTAAGTATTTGGTAATCTTCATTCTGTATTTAAGTATTTGGTAATCTTCAGTCTACATCTAAATATTTGGTAATATTCAGTCTACATCTAAGTATTTGGTAATCTTCAGTCTACATCTAAGTATTTGGTAATTCTCCAGTCTGCATCTATGTATTTGATAATCTTCAGTCTACATCTAAGTATTTGGTAATCTTCATTCTACATCTAAGTATTTGGTAATCTTCAGTCTACATCTATGTATTTTGTAATCTTTAGTCTACATCTAAGTATTTGGTAATCTTTAGTCAGTATCTAAATATCTACTGCTTGTTTTCTGCCACCGCTTGTAGCTTGCCCGTTCAGTGACCTGCCCGGCTACTGCTACAGATACGGCTGCATCAGGTTCATCTGAAAAATTACCAACATTTAGAATTTAAATATTTATTATTTAAAATTGTTAACTATTTCTTGCCGCATTGAAAGAACTTTTTAGAATCAGCCAACAAGCTGACTTGATTTTTTTTACAAATTGGCAAACATCTTAAATGGCCTAAGAAAAATGAATAATTTTTTGAATTAAATGATTTACAAATTTTTCATAGTTAGCTCAAATTTGTACCTGTAGGTATCTGAGAACTAGAACCTAGGTTTTGCTTAGACCTTGATTTTCGTAGTGGTGGATCTTGTACTGAGGGAAGTGGATCTCCTCTTACATCTGGAAGTTCTGTTGTTGGATGTCGTGAATCTGTGTAGCGTCGTCTAATATATTTCTTAACCTCCCGCCCACTGCCAGCAGTGAGGTTATCAGCTGAGGACCGTTCAACCTCGTTGATCAAGCGGTCAAGATTATCTGTCTTTGATCTCATGTCATAGCTAAATGCAGAGAGTACTGAAGGACGGGATCCATTGGACTCCGGAGGTAGGCTTAAACTAGAGGATGCAAGATTTTCATCCTTTAACCTTCGAAGCCCTAGAGGATTGGGACTGTGGCCTCTATCGGCAGAAGACACCTGAAATAATAAAGATAAGGCAATGTCAAACTTCAGTAACATCAAATTTTGCATGGGTTCTGGTATTGGGTTTAAGCATAAACTCTATATAGTTACAAGATTAATTGCATGAGATTCAGTCGAGTTTAGTCAATGTTTAAAGTTACAAATAGAAAATGTGTTCCAAAATTTTAAAATGTTGTGCTAGTTTTTGACAAGATTCTGCACTTAATTGGTGCATAATAATTTGACAAATATGACAAATATATGAATTTTAAAGACATTTTCTGTGAAGGGATTTCAACATACCTGAATATCTGGAATTGGTTCATTAACCAAAGTTTGAACTGAATCTGCCGGCGAAGGTTTGTTCCGTATAGGAACCGGTTTTAGGACTAGGGACACATCCTGCCCCTGTCCCCGGCCCCTAGAATCCAGGTAGTGTGTCTCTACTTCAACTTCAGCACGTGTTAAATTACGCTTCTCTGGCGTAGGAGTCACTGACATAGGTGATGGTGGCCCACTGAACACAGCGGGCTCCAATAAGACCAAACCTGGGGACATGGGGTTGCTGGGTGTACTGGACCCTGATCCAAAGAAAACAGGATCACTAGGTGATACACCACGGCTTGAGTATACTATGGAATCAGTGTTTTGAGATCCAGCGCTCCGTATTGTTGGAATATGAATCTCACAAGAGAGAACTTTTCCCTCGCCATCATGGCTGAGACGGCGCAGAACAACTCGTTTTCCCAGAACACCCTGTAACATAAATAAATAAATTTCTTTGATTTTACATCTGATATTTTCATCAAGCCAAGGAAGGGTAGCTTAAAAAGTTTAAAGAATAACTATGCATTTATCCAGAAATCATAAACCTATTCAGCAGCGGTGTCTAAATTCTTTGTGTCTAAGCTGATTGATCCTGTCTCAAAATTTGATTTAAATACTTCTTTAGCTGTCTAGATCTCTGTTACAATATGTCATCTTAGATCTATATCATCTTTACCTTTATTTAAAATGCAAAGACTTCAACATTTAAGTTTTCTAAGATAGAAATCTAGTCGTTGAGAGGAAAACTGATCAAACGTACTTATCCATGCATCTTTTAATATATCTATCAATTCATCCATATTTCCACTTATTTATTAGTTCATCCATATTTCCATCCATCTATTAATTCATCCATGTTTCCATAAATCTACCAATTCATTCATATTTCATCCATCTATCACAATTCATCCATATTTCCATCTTTCTATCAATTCATCCATATTTCATCTATCAATTAGTTCATCCATATTTCCATCTATCTATCAATTCATCCATATTTCCATATTTCCATCTATTTATCAATTCATCCATATTTCAATCCATTTATTAGTTCATCCCTATTTTATCTATCTATCAATTAATCAAAATTTCCACCCATTTATCAATTCATTTATATTTTATCTATCTATCAATTAATCAAATTTCCATCCATCTATCTATCAAGTCATCCACATTTCATCTATCTAGCAATTCATCCACATTTCATCTATCTATAAATTCATCCACATTTCATCTATCTAGCAATTCATCCACATTTCATCTATCTATCAATTCATCGATATTTCATCTATCTAGCAATTCATCCATATTTCATCTATCTAGCAATTCATCCATAATTCATCTATCTATCAATTCATCCATATTTCATCTATCTATCAATTCATCAATATTTCATCTATCTAGCAATTCATCCATATTTCATCTATCTAGCAATTCATCCATAATTCATCTATCTATCAATTCATCCATATTTCATCTATCTATCAATTCATCAATATTTCAACTATCTATTAATTAATTTCTACTTTACCATCCTAATTCTATTTTCAACTATCTAATTCTAAAATTCTAATTTATATTTTTATTATCTATTATAATTTAGCCACTTTTTTTATTTTTCAATCATTTCACCCATGAATAAATTTATCTTAAGAAATCAACAAAATTTTATCATTTAAGTTAGTTAAAGGTAGACTAGGATTTGACAATAATTGAAGCTGACATTGATTTAAAAATGTTATTTCTAGATCAAAAAGTACATCTCTAAATACAGCCTACAAGCTGCACTGGTAGAAACATGGACACTATTTTCCCGGGAAAAAATGTAATACAAATAGTTAACATATACAGGGTTAGCCACAAAGGATACGACTTTAAAGACGACTTTAAACTCATAATATTCTGGTCCCATGGTTGGATTAAATATCTGCCTTAACATATAATCTTTTACCTTTTGCCTTCTCTCCTCTTCCTCACATGGTTCTTGACCTCCTGGGTCAGATTGACCGGCCTGACCACCCTGGCCCTGGAGCCCGGTCACATTAATCTTAAGTGTACCGGTCACTATACCCTGCTTATCACATTGGGACCCGCGGGCAGGTGGCATAATCACAGATTCAGAAGATGGAGTTCTGAAAAACATTATTATTATTGTTGTTGCCACTTTTGCTTTCACTACTGGAGTTTACTGGTTGAATTTGAACATATTTAATTATGATTTTAAAGGAGAAACATTATAGTAATAATTACACCAACTGAAATGATTACACTTCAGTGTACAGTACACTGATGTGCCCTGTACACTGTACAGCGTACACTGTAATTCGTAATTTATAGTAGTCTTCGTAGTGTATTTTTTACTTCACAGTGTACTGTAAATTGAAAACTGTACTGTTTATTAGACTGTGTACTGTATTATGCACTGTACTGCATTGTACACTGTACTGTACTGTACACTTGTACTGTATTGTACACTGTAATGTATTATACGCTGTACTGTATTATACACTGTACTGTATTATACACTGTACAGTATTGTACACTTCTAATGTATTGTACACTTGTACTGTATTGTACAGTGTATTTTATTATACACTGTACTTTATTATACACTGTACTGTATTGAACACTTGTACTGTATTGTATAGTGTACTGTATTGTACAGTTTACTGTATTTTACAGTGTACTGATTATACACTGTACTTTATTAAACACTGTACTGTATTGTACACTTGTACTGTATTATGCACTTGTTCTGTATTGTACAGAGTACTGTATTATACTGTGTGATTGTACTATATTGCAACTGTACTTTCCTTAAAGTATACACTATGGAGTCTGCATTCAATTGTACTGTATATGGTATACTGCACTATGTATTGTATTAGAGTATTGTACCTCATAGAACTGGTTGATTGACTCTTATCTCTCTTCTTATTAAACCATTTGGTTTCTCCAGATTCAGAACTATCAGACTTTTCACGGAACCTAATAGCACACAAGTTTATATTTTAAGATTTATGATATTAAAATTACGGTTTTCTATATAAAAATTGTACCAATTTTATTTTAGCACTTTTAAAAGAATCTATGTGAGAAAGTCGCCGGAAAAAAAGTTTCTGGAAAAAAACCTGGAAATAAAAACTTTGGAAAAAAATCCCACTTTTCTGAAGTCCTAGGACAAAATGTCCCTGGAAATAAAGTCCTGAGTTTTAGATTCATGGGAATTTTCCCCCCTAAAATGACATGGGGCTGCCAATAAAGTCTCAGGAAATAAGATCCCAGGAATTAAAATCCTGAAGTAAAAAGTCCTAAGTCTTGTGAAAATGTCTGAGACGTCTTTATAAAAAGGACTTCTTTTCTAAGCATCTGCATATTGAATAAATCCACGAATGTTTTTATATCAATTGCCCCTTTTTATGCATTCTCTACTAAAGAGGACTGTTTTTCCGGGAACAGTTTTGTATAAAATCATACTGGAACCAGAAAATAAGACCTAGAAAATAAAGTCTTAAAGTAGTAGGGTAGGACTTTATTTCCAAACACTTTTTAATTCAAGGACTTTTTTCCACAGGACTTTTTTAGTGCCAAAATTATGGACTTTATTTCCGAAAAAAAATCTTAAACTTTTTTTGGAACAAAAAAGTTCAAGATTTTTAAAAATTTGAATCAAGTATTTCGGCCAGGGGGAGCTAACTAATGCCCCCCCCCCCATCACTAATTAGTACCTAAACCAGCTGCCTCCTTTCTCCTGTGTTTCCTCGGACCCTCTTCTTCTGGCTCTACCTCGTTCCTCCTCTTTGCGTCGCAACCTTCACAAAACATGATTTTTAAATATTAAAACATCTCTTGGAATATTTATTTTCAAGTTGTTCACTTTTCATTCAAGAAAATGTTGATAGTGACCTTTTTTATTTTTGACTGGGATTCAGTTCGGTAACGAAAACAACACATAATTTTCCTTCAAAAAAGTTTTATTTGGTTGAAATTAATGCTATAAATGTTTTTTCTCTCTCGCATAGTTTTTTTTAAAATTTGTATTAAGTAGCTATTTTTTAAGAATATACTAGTGTACACTAAAAAGCTGAATGTGCTTGTGTACACTAAAAAAGCTGAATGTACTCATGTACACTAAAAAAGCTGAATGTACTCATGTACACTAAAAAAAGCTGAATGTACTCGTGTACACTAAAAAAAGCTGAATGTACTCATGTACACTAAAAAAAGATTAATGTACTCGTGTACACTAAAAAAAAAGCTGAATGTAATCATGTACACTAAAAAAGCTGAATGTACCAGTGTACACTAAAAAAGCTGAATGTACTCGTGTACACAAAAAAAAGCTGAATATACTTGTGTACACTAAAAAGGCTGAATGTACTCGTGTACACTAAAAAAAGCTGAATGTACTCGTGTACACTAAAAAAAGCAAAAAAAGCTGAATGTACTCTTTTACGCTAAAAAAGCTGAATGTACACTAAAAAAGCTAAATGTACTATAGTGTACACTAAACAAAGCTGAATGTACTCGTGTACACTAAAATCAGCTGAATGTACTTATGTACACTAAAAAAGCTGAAAGTACTTGTATACACTAAAAGAAGCAGAATGTAATCATGTGCACTAAAAAAAGCTGAATGTACTCGTGTACACTGAAAAAAGCGGAATGTACTTATGTACACTAAAAAAAGCTAAATGTACTCATGTACACTGAAAAAAGCGGAATGTACTCATATACACTAAACTGTTTATCCCATAAATTTTTATTCCTGCTTAAAAATCATTCTAAACAATGTAAAACTTTCTTTCACAAGTGAAAGTGAAAATCTGTAAATTTTCTGTTTTGATATTTATGAACAGCAAAATTTTACTAGAAAACATTAAATTACTATTTAGGCTGTAATTAGAAAATGAAAGTCACGTAGATCAAATTGTTTGTGTCTAGTAAAGTAAACTTTTTTAAAGTAAGTTTAAGTATTTTAGTTTAGGAATGAACCCCAGAATGCGTTGAAAGTCTACAACTACTTAGTGGCCCAATTATCACGTGACGAGACAGAAATTTTCAAATTTTACAGATGTCGGAATTTTCTAACTTTTTAGATTATTCCAAAAAATATTTTAGTCTCTTAATATATCATTTTAATTATTTTATTTGTTAATGTAAATGTTTTTTTTGTAAGATTTCAATTAATATAGGCCACCAAATCGACTTAAAGGACGATCCTAATCTCTTTTTAAAAATTTGAATTAATTTTCAGCCATAAGTTTATTTTTAGACAGTGAGTCAACTAAAAAAAGCAATTTTACAGTTGCAGGAAACCCTTACACTAAACAAATATGCTCCACACTTGTCTCTTTGTAAATATAAAAATTGTAAATTGATTTTAAAATCAAATTTTTCTTAAACTCTTCGATTTATGCCAAAAATTGAAGTTATCGTCTCAATTACCTCGATTGCAAATTTTGCAAAATCCTCGAATTTCTGATTGGAATTTACAGTGTACACTGTACAGTTCAAACTGATCCAGCTGAACGCAGTCAGCTGATATATATTGTGTAGTGTGTGTAGTGCAAATATTTGTGGAATTTCAAGAAAATAAGTCATATTTTTTCTAGAAATTCAATGTTTTAAATATAGATCAGTAAAAAAACATTCAAGCCTAATTTTTCGACTATTCTATAGATACATTAATCAAACACCTTTTTCGACTATTCTATAGATACATTAATCAAACACCTTTTTCGACTATTCTATAGATACATTAATCAAACACCTTTTTCGACTATTCTATAGATACATTAAACCTTTTTCGAATTTTTTTCTTTATTGTAAATTGTTTTTCTAGTTTTACAAAATAGAAAGATATGATTTCTAATTTATGAATTTTGTCGATAATAATAATATTATTGAAATGTTTCTAAAACAAAAAAATGATATTTTTTATTTATTAAGTCGATTTTTTGTATTTAAGAAGTTATGTTAAAATAAAAAATGTAATGTGTAAGTCAGTTTTTTAAATTTTTTTTAATAGTAATAAATTGTGAAAGTGTGAAAATGTTCAATTACGTTTCAAAAACAAATTGTTTAAAAAATATATTGTTGATTTAAAATATCAAAGCTGTTTTCTATAAACTAGTCAGATACCAGTTCCTATTCTATTCTAATTTTTCTAATTTTTTCTATTCTATTCTTTTTACCTTTCTTCCTCCTCTACTTCTCCTCCACTTCCCTCCAGTTCAAAGATTGGATGAATATCACTTTTTGATAATTTTCTACAAATATTAATCTTTCTAGCCATCGTCTTAATTTTCCTTGGCCTACTTCATATCTCAACCATAATCTTTTTAAAAATAACCTATCCTTAGCATTAAATAAAATTTTCTTTAGAGATTTAATCAGAAAAGTAGAAAAATCAATGTCTTTAAATTTCTTTGTTTGACTTTTTTCAAACATAAAAAATATTAAAAGCAGAAAATTATCAGAAGCATAAAAATTTGATGTCAATGCTGTGCAAAAATGTTATTTCATTGTTATCTGTGAAGCAAAGCTAGCTGGGGGTTAGGAGCAATAGTTATACATCCCAAAAGATAGAAATTAAAAAATGGTGTTGCATTGGGTACAATTTTATTTTATTTAGTATCTCTAAATATTACTCGAGAAAAGTTTTTAAAAAAGAATTTCTTTTGAAAAAGAATGTCCAACATTTTTAAAAAGTTTCTGTAGAAAATATTTTTAAAATTCAGTTCATCTTTACTATATTTGAAGTAAAAATATAAGTGAAATTTAAATTTTCTCACTTTTTAGGATTTTTTTGTTAACATTTCAAAATGTCTTTACTTAAACTATTGCCCCCGTTTAACGATTTCTTACTGGAGGCAAACTGTACGCATGTACAGGCGAGTGTACATGCTGTGCACTAGTACTCAAACAACAATACATCTACAGATAATTCTACATTAAAAATGGCAAACCTAGAAAAAGTTAAAACAATATTTTTACTCTCAAAATACCTTAAAAGTTCACTAACTACTATTACTTACAAGAAAACAAATCATATACATAACTACAGTGGATGGAAATTTAAACTTAACCAAAAAAATCCACGTTGATTTGAGTAACAAAAAAGGTTTTTATGAAATTACAAATCTTATTAATTAATATGAAATAGTTTATTCGTCTTCTTATTCCTCTTTTTTTATCACTTCCCGATAAAAGAACAAAAATAACAAAAATGGCGTTTTAAATGATGTTTTTGGCGCCAAAACTGCAGAGTGTACACTTTATGTACAGATGTACACTAAACTCACCTATCGTTATGCTCTGCTATATGTGGATCATTAGGACCGAGTAATCTTGGTTCAGGCATGTCATAAATCAGGTGACCATCAAACAAATCAACATACCTAGATAAAAATCTCAATTTTACCAGTGGTTCAAAAATATCTTAAAATTTGTAAGGAAAAGAGAATATTACTCGTCTCCATTGATGATTGCTCTTCGTCGGAGCTGATAATCCATTGCCTCTGGAACCTCTTCATTCATTTTCAGGTACAGCTAGAACAAATATATATATAAATATAACTATAAACCAAAAATCAGAACAGCTTCTCAGTTTTCATATTTATTAATACAAATTGTTTCAGATCTCTCGATCCTCATCAGTCAATAAACATGATTCATATTTAATATAGATATATATATATATATATATATATATATACATATGTATATTTATTCTAACTGTACAGGTACAGCTATAGAAATAAAAGCTTCGCTACGACTAAAATTATATTTATATACTTTACTTAGCTGTCTGATTGTTACTTTGTTTGTATCTAATAAAAAAATCTATGAATTTGCCTCCAACAATTTAATTGTATGTTTGAAAAGTTCCGGCAATATTCGATAAAAAAACTAAAAAATCTGCAAAATCTATAGTGTTGTTTCTGTAAAATGAGAAAAATTGGATACAGAAAAAGTAACACTTAAAGGCAAACACGATTATAAGGAAGTGGGGCGCGAAGCGCCATAAAAGTTTGCTTAAATATATCAGTTTATTTCCAAATATGTAAATATTTGACCTCGTGTAATTCCTCTGAAGTTAACTCAAACAACTCTCTAAACAATTATTCATATAAATTAAAATACAGTGCAGTCGGCGATAATATCACTACAATGAAAATGGATTTTTATTAATAGTTAATAATTAAAAAATTAAAAGTAAACAAAGAGAAATTCTTAATTGACAACTTTTCTTTGTTTAAGTGCTTCTGCTGTTTGATAACCTCAGTAAAAAACAAAATTAAAATAGACTGTAGTCTTCATTGTATTGATAAAATAGGAATTCCAGTGAAACAATTTTATTGCATTAAACTACAACCTGAATGTAGGGAGTATGGGTATAAAATAGTAATACCCTCTCTTTTAAACAAGTTTGGTCCATAAAAGGAAGTAAAGTTAAAAGGTCCAATAAAGCAAAATACCATCTTTCTTGAAAAATATTGTTTTATGAAACTGAAAAACTGTCATGGCATTGGTACAATTTAAAATTTTTCTATTTTAAAACAATTTTATTGCCTCTTGTATGAAAAAAAAACTGTAGGGGTTCAAAATAGAAATTTCTCTCTAAAAAACTATATCCTAATAGTATTCAAACTGTAAAACTGTTTCACGAAAAAACCAAAGTGTGAAGTAATTGCTGACTAACCTATTGTAATCTATTAAACTTCTGACAATGTTAATGGTTTCAGTTCTTTCTGCAGCTTTGGCCGGGTTCTCTGGAATAATTCACATTTTTTATTTCTTTATTTCATTATTTTTATTTGATTATTTTAAGTTTGAGTTTTTGTTTTATTTTTACTTGCAGAATAATTCTTCCTCCATCTTTTAAAAGTTTAGGGGATCTAAATAATATTCTTTTAAAATTAAATTTTTTTTATTACAGTGGTCGTCAGTAATCTACATTATTATCTACTACATTTGTCAGAGTTAATGTATCGATAAATGGTTTTGAAAAAATGCAATAAAAATATCAATGATTGGGATATTCCGATCGACATATTTGAAAATTTCACAGTTTTTGACCAAAACCAATACATTTTTAATTTTACCATTATTCAAAACTCAAGATATTATTTTCCGTAAATCTAGAATAAAGAGGTTTAATACACCTGGTGATACAGCCCCATCTGTATTTTTCATTGAGTGAAGAATATTAGGAGCAAACAGGGTTGCAAGATTGTTAGAGTCCATCTTATTTCCAGCTATTTCCTCACCCTAGATATAGATAGATAGATGAATACAGTAATGATTAGAAAACTGAACTGAACCAATCGGGCCCAAATTTTTTGTGGGACATCACGTGACCACAGGGAACGTTTATGAATAATCAAAATTTCAAATATTTGTCTCCATCAAAATTCGAACTTCATTAAATTTTTGAAAATTTTGAAAATCCACGAAATTTTTTGTGAAAATCCGCAAATTATTTTTGTTTTGTTTTACGATGTACACAAAGAGAACATGTTCACAATTAATTTAGAAGATGGACGCGAAGCGCCCTATAAGGCTAGTAACTTTAAAAGGCCCAATGAGCATGCTAAACAGATTTCGTGCACTGTTAACAGACCCATTTCACTTACTAAAAGATAAGTGTCTAGTATTTGCTCTATAACAACATCAAAAATATTAAGTAACTGCTATAATGTCGTCTTCCTTTGCCAATGTTTTCTGATTATTACTGTAGCTAGATAGATAGATAATTTGGTACAAAGCACGATGAATGATACCTGAGGTTAGGTTAGGTTAGGTTAGATAAATATACATAGCTAGATAGATAGATAGACAGATAGATAGCTAGATAGATAGATAGATAGATAAACAGATAAACAGACAGATAGATACAGCTATACCTAGAGAAGTTGCTTTAAAGAAAGTGGAAAAAAAGGAGAAACCAGATCGAGTTATATTCTCTATCTCATTTAATCCCCAGCTGCCTTGTATCTCCTCCATCATACAGAAACATTGGAGAACCATGATCCAGGATCCTTGGATGAAAGAGGTTTTTCAAAATCCACTTATGGTTACCTATAGGAGACCTCCTAATCTCAGGGATAAACTCATCCGAGCCAGAATTCCAGATCCTCCTTGAATGAGGTGAAAGAGGCTAATACCCGGTATGAAACCTTGTGGTTTAAATTGCTCAACTTGTCCCTACATACAGAGCCTGGAACAGTTATACAATCCTCTAATACCAGCAAGAAGATTGAGATTAATGGAACTTTCAACTGTAAGACCAGAAATATAGTTTACTGTATTACATGTGAACAGTGTAAACTACAATATATAGGACAGACAACAAGATCTTTAGATGAAAGAGTGAGAGAACATATTGGTTACATTAGAAATCTCCATACAAACCAGCCTACAGGAGAACATTTTAACCTTCCTGGACATGAACTCTAACATCTAAAAGTTAGCGTTCTAGAGAAGGTTTGGGACCACGGAAGAAGTTTACTTGAAGAACGAGAATCTAAATACATCAGAGATTTTATGACTGAACTCAGAGGAATGAACAGGAAAAAATAGTTTAAATTTAATTGTTAACTGTAATTCAGTATGTTTTTAGAAAAAAGAGTTTTTTTATGTCCAATTCTTTAAAAGGTTTAAGTACCCCTCCTTAAACAAGGCCTTTTTTTTTTAAAGTGAATATTTGCAAATTATCTCTTTTCCATCTCACAATCTGAGTTCGTTTTCCTTATGTCCACTTGACAGCCCAACTTTTTATTTGGAATAATCTTTTTTGTTTGTTTATCTTCTTGTGATTTTTTACATTTTTTTTATCGATTTTGATGGTTATTATATCGTTAGAACTGACGAGGGTCAACCCAGACCTAACTATATTTTCAATAAATGTGGAACTAACATCTACTTTTTTACTCTACAGAGGTTTGGTCCATCACCATCACCGAATTTTAAAGATAGATAGATAGATAGATAGATAGGCAGATAGATAGATAGATAGGTATACAGAAAGACAGATATACAGATATATAGATAGATAGATAGATACCTGAGGTCCCCTTCTATCTTCACTATTCTCTGCTACAAGATGAAGGAAGTTTAGAAGAACGTACAGGGTGTCTCTATTCACCTAGTTTTCATATTTTTTATTATATTTTTCATTTTATTGTTCATGCCATTTTATCAAACTTTTATTTGCAAAAAACAAAAATCTATAATCTAAGCTGTGCTAAAAACATAAATCTAATCTAAGCTGTGCTTAAAACATAAATCTAATCTAAGCTGTGCAAAAAAACATAAATCTGATCTAAGCTGTGTAAAAAAAAATCTGATCTAAACTGTGCTAAAAACATAAAACTGATCTAAAGCTGTGCAAAAAACTATAATCTAAGCTGTGCTAAAAACATAGATCTGATCTAATCTGTGCTAAAAACATGAATCTGATCTAAAACTGTGCAAAAAACTATAATCTAAGCTGTTTAAAAAACATTTAAATCTGATCTAAAATGTGATAAAAACATAAATCTGATCAAAAACTGTATAAAAACAAAAAGCTAAACTAGACTTTGCAAAAATCTAATCTAAGCTGTGATAAAAACATAAATCTGATCTAAGCAGTGCAAAAAACATAAATCTCATCTGAACTGTGCAAAAAACAAAATCAATAATCTAAGCTGTGCTAAAAACATAAATCTGATCTAAACTGCGCAAAAAACATAAATCTGATCTTAACTCTGATAAAAAATAAATCTGATCTAAACTGTGGAAAAAAACTAAATTCTAATCTAAGCTGTGCTAAAAACATAAATCTGATCTAAACTGTGCTAAAAACATAAACTTGATCTAAACTGTGCAAAAAACAAAAATCTATAATCTAAGCTGCGCTAAAAACATAAATCTGATCTAAAACTGTGCAAAAAACTATAATCTAAGCTGTGCTAAAAACATAAATCTGATCTAAGCTGTGCTAACATAAATCTGATCTAAAACTGTGCAAAAAAATAAATCTGATCTAAAACTGTGCAAAAAACTATAATCTAAGCTGTGATAAAAAATAAATCTGATCTAAACTGTGCAAAAATACTAAATTCTAATCTAAGCTGTGCTAAAATCATAAATCTGATCTAAATTGTGCTAAAAACATAAATCTGATCTAAATTGTGTTAAAAACATAAATCTGATCTAAACTGTGCAAAAAACATAATCTGATCTAAACTGTGCAAAAAACATAAATCTGATTTAAACTTTGCAAACATATAAATTTTAATATAATGTGTAAAACAACAAAAATCTAAACTAGACTATGCAAAAATATAATCTTAACTGTGCAAAAAAAAAAAATCTTAACTAGACTATGCAAAAAATCTAATCTAAACCGTGTAAAAAAACTAAATTTTAATCTAAACTTTACATGCAAATTCTATTCTAAACTGTATATAAAAACTAAATTCTAATCTTAACTAAAAACTAAAATCTAATTTAAACTTTACAAAAATCTAATCTAAAATCTAAACTATACTGTGCCAAAATCTAATCTAACTTTGCTAAAACAAGTTTAAAATACACACTGTGAAAAAAAATCTAATCAGATCTTTGCAAAATCTGAAAATATGAAAACTATATAAAAAAGCATTACCTGGGGTAAAAGCTGTATGATTTTTTTCATCGCTTCAATCTGCTGTTTACGGTTGCGGATTTCTAGAGAAATAATGTTTTTTAAGTTTTTATTTTTAATAATTTTAACATTTTCATAACTTTTATAAACCTTTAAGGCTCATTTAAACATTTAAAAAAGTATATTTTACCAGTCAAATTTTTTAATATTAATAAAAAAAGAAAAAAAAGAAGTCAGAATAATGTGAGAAGAACAGGAACATTTGTTTGTTATAATTTTAAATACGTTTTAATTTTAAAGAATTGATATCTGCGTAATTTCCAAAAGAATTTTCTAATTCTAAAAAAACTTTTAGAATGCGGAGGCGTGGCTATGAGCCTTGAATCCCACCCACTGTTATAGCATCAGACTACAACTTACTATTATCCCAGTCTCCTTCCCACTTTACAACCCCCCTTCCCCTCCCCAACTTACTATCACCCTGGTCCNCCTCTGAACCCTTCCCCACATTACTATCATGCTGGTCCACTCCCCACCTTACTATCACCCTGGTCCCCATCCCACCTTACTATCCCCCTGGTTCCGTCCCCACCTTACTATCCCTCTGAACCCTTCCCCACATTACTATTATCCTGGTCCACTCCCCACCTTACTATCACCCTGGTCCCCTCCCCACCTTACTATCATGCTGGTCCACTCCCCACCTTACTATCACCCTGGTCCCCATCCCACCTTCCTATCACCCTGGTTCCCTCACCATCCTACAACCCCCACCCATCCCCATCGAGCGTTACTTATTAGATTCAAGCTGTCATTCTGTAGCAAAAATCGTGTAAACATGATATTCTGTAAACTTGCAGTACGCTGTACAATATTAATGCTTTAATATTGAACACATGATGTCCTTGATATCCTTGATATCCTTGATATCCTTGATATCTCTGATATCCTTGATATCCTTGATATCCCTGATATCCTAGATATCCCTGATATCCTAGATATCCCTGATATCCTTGATATTATAGAAGTATAGTATAGAAGTCTCAATAACTCAGAATGACAATATATTTTCACAAGTTTATTTATTCATATGTTACTCGTTTAACATACTAAGAATGACAAGTGTATAATCCGAGATTCAACAAGTTTGCGAAATATCAGTGAAACTGTTTGCGCATTTATCCAAACTCAATTATAATTTAAACATGTAGGACAAAATCATATTTTCTAATAACTAAAAGTCTGGCTTCTACAATATCCCTGATATCCTTGATATCCCTGATATCCTTAATATCCTTGAAATCCCTGATATCCATGATATCCTTGAAATCCCTGATATCCTTGATATCCTTAACATCCCTGATATCCTTGATATCCCTGATATCCTTGATATCCTTGATATCCCTGATATCCTTGATATCCTTGATATCCTTGATATCCTTGATATTCTTGATATCCTTGATATCATTGATATCATTGATATCCTTGATATCCCTGATATCCTTGATATCCTTGAAATCCCTGATATCCCTGATATCCCTGATATCCTTGATATCCCTGATATCACTGATATCTTTGGTATCCTTGATATCCTTGATATCCTTGATATCCCTGATGTCATTGATATCATTGATATCCCTGATATCATTGATATCCTTGATATCCTTTATACCCTTGAAATCCCTGATATCCATGATATCCTTGAAATCCCTGATATCCTTGATATCCCTGATATCCTTGATATCTCTGCTATCCTTGAAATCCTTGATATCCCTGATATCCTTGATATCCCTGATATCCTTGATATCCTTGATATCCTTGATATCCTTGATATCCTTGATATCTTTGATATCCTTGATATCCTTGATATCCCTGATATCCTTGATATCCTTGAATCCTTGATATCCTTGAAATCCCTGATATCCTTGATATCCCTGATATCCTTGATATCCCTGATATCCTTGAAATCCCTGATATCCATTATATCCTTGATATCCCTGATATCCTTGATATCCCTGATATCCTTGAAATCCCTGATATTCTTGAAATCCTTGATATCCCTGATATCATTGATATCCCTGATATCATTGATATCCTTGATATCCTTGATATCCTTGATATCCTTGAAATCCTTGATATCCTTGATATCCCTGATATCCTTGATATCCTTGATATCCTTGATATCCCTGATATCCTTGATATCCTTGAAATCCCTGATATCCATGATATCCTTGAAATCCCTGATATCCTTGATATCCCTGATATCCTTGATATCCCTGATATTCTTGAAATCCCTGGTATCCCTGGTATCCCTGATATCCTTGATATCCCTGATATCCCTGATATCCTTGATATCCTTGATATCCCTCATATCTTTGATATCCCTGATATCCCTGATATCCTTGATATCCTTGATATCCCTCATATCTTTGATATCCCTGATATCCCTGATATCCTGGATTGAATCCCAATCATGCAATTAATATATAAAATATAAAATATATATTCAAATATATACGTATATGTATAAAATATATGAACTGATGAAAGGTAGGAAGTTTTTCAAATATATTTTATTGACCTGGACATTTAGATTTATAAATACTTGAGCTTGAGCTACCTGCACAGCATCCCTCAGTTAGCCATGCAGTACATCCCGTCAATCAAAAAGTGCTCTCCATCCCCCCCCTAGACCCCCTCCTCCCCCCAATAATAGATCCTCCTCCCATGACACAACCAATAACCATATATAAGGTATCACCCAAAGTGTCAAAGAAATGAAGGATTGTCTGTTAGTAAGAGTTGATTGGTAAATACACTCGAAACACACGAAATATGACAGCAGTAGACAAATGGAAGGTCGTCTTTGAAATTTAAAAAAATTGCGGCATTTATTCGGAAACCTTAATTTAGAAGTAAAATTCTAGGGTGTATAAAAAATCCTTGGCATTTCTAAGATATGGTCTGCTTTACAACTTCCAACATTACCGGCCGGATCAGGAGAATTTTGTGGTTATTGTTTCAAGAATCATACATACTGAATTTCGCAAACAAATTCAAAGACAACTTTCCAGCTGTCTTGCTACTGGCATGTCTCGTGGGACACCCTGTAGCAGATTGAACCAAATGTTACAGATTTTTGAAAAAAAAAATTTGACCTTGTAAATTTTAATATTTAAATTTATAAAAGTGCATTAAAACCAATCATTCATTCCTCCCTGCCAAGTAACAAACTAGTATGCAATCTTAAATTTAACGAATTTCTGATTAATTGTGGAAAAGATATTGTTGTATTTTTAGCTAGAAAATTTTCAATTCTGGCATTTCTCTATATTGTTTACTTTAGAGAGAAACCACAATTGGAAATAATACACGTTCAAAAAGAAAATTATTGACTTCTCAAACATGCTTGATCAATAAAACCTTTTAATGTTGCGTTGTGAATGCAACATTGACACGGGCAGCCGTAGTACAATTGAATTTCCTAGCCGGTCAACCTGTCCGGTCTCAGTTTGTACTGTACCTAGCTCTATAGACAGGAGTAGCCGGTGCAACAAGGTTGACGCGGTCAGACCATAGATAAATAAATAAACATAGATAGCTTATGTACGTAAAATCACCAAGAATTGTACAGTCCGCGAACTCATACTTCTAGGGGTCAAAGTGTACTTCAATGATAAGCGGGGTGGTTTGGTGTTTTAATGGATTTTAAAATAGAGTGTAAAATAACTCCGGGAATGGAACTCTTTGAACAACAATATTTCACTGAGCAATTAACAATATCTATTCTTTTTTTATGCTGTAAATACATATTTATATACTCTGTAGACTTATTCCATAGATAAATAGATAAATAAATAAACATAGTTATAGCTTAAATGTACGCAAAATCACCAAGAATTGTACATCCGCGAACTCATACTTCTAGGGGTCAAAGTGTACTTCAATGATAAGCGGGGTGGCAGGGGCGGATACAGGATTTAAGTGAGGGGGGGCAAGATTTTTTAGGAACAAAAAAATGAATGATTAGGAAAAAAAATCGTGCCGCAGGCGAAAATTTTTTTTGACTTAAAAGACTCAAAAAGAGTCAAAATTAATGACTAAAGACTAAAAACTAGATTTTTAAATTTTAGGAACAAAATTAAAGGAATTTAGGAACAATTAAAAGATTGTTCAGGAATTAGGAACAAAATTAAAGGATCAGGACAGGGATTTAGGAACAATAAACAGATTGTTCAGGAATTAAGAACAAAGATATAGGATTAGGACAGGGATTTAGGAACAATAAACAGATTGCTTAGGAATTAGGAACAAAAATATAGGATTAGGACAGGATTTAAGGTGGGTCGGACACAGGAACAGGAACAATAATAGGAACATTAGCAATTTAAGAACAAAAAGAAATTACTAGTTATACTTAAATGCATGAAAATTAGGAACAACATTACAATTTTGATAAATGAGTATTGATTAAGGAACATTACTAGATATGAACAATATTATAACTTAAGTCTAGTTTCTTACAAATTTCTAATTCTAAATTTATCGCTAACAATAACATTTATCAAATTGGGAACATTTTTTGCCTCGAAATCTCAGGGGGGACGAATATCCCCCCGCCCCCCTTGTATCCGCCCCTGCGAAGTGGTTTGGTGTTTTAATGGATTTCAACATAGAGTGTAAAATAACTCCGGGAATGGAACTATTTGAACAACAATATTTCACTGAGCAATATATCATATTGACGAGAACTGAAGAAGGACATGCGAGAAGGATTAAACTAACTTAAATTTCTCTCTACATAACTCATTGTACACCTCAAGTACTCAATGACATACGAACAGCCAATGTTCACAAACGACCTAGTTAATCTATATAATAGGAATATCTTTAAAACATCTCTGCATATTTATATCTTTCAAGATGAAAAATGTCGTCTTATGCACAATCTATCTTTATCTATGGGTCAGACTTTATGCTTCAAAAGTTTGAATTTACTTTTACTAAAGGGGCAGAGGTGCGTGTTAAATGTAGAGTCGTATATAATTAAATTCTTACTCTCATAAACACTCACATTAAAGGAACTGTAAGCGTAATTTCAAGTGACCCCCATGTAAAGATATGAATACTGATTTACAATAGTACCTTCGAAACTTTAAAAAGTGTTTATTTCTGTGAATTTATCCATTGTTTCTTATATGTTTAACTCAGATGAAAATAAACTGTTAAAATAAACAAAAAACAGGCAGAGCTGAAAACTTTAGTATGAGATATCCTTATTATCACGATCGCTTAATCTGATAATCCAATGTACACACTTTTGATTTTCTCCTTAATCCTCTTTTTGGATAATTTTTCTATAAAAAAGTTACGATTGTTAAAAATTACAGATACAATGCTATATCGATTGGACTAATATCCGATTGAATTAAAGTCGGCTTTTAGAGCATTTAAACAAATATAAATTTAATCATGTGAATATGAAATTATTGAAAAATATACTTTAGGACTATTGTCATTTTGAACGTTAGTCAATTAATAAACATTAATCCAAAACTTGCTTTCGATCAATCAATGTTTAGTTCAATTGATATGACACCATCAACACCAAAAATCAAAACAGGTTTTTTTAAAGTTAAAGAGTACATCTTAACATGACATGCTGATTGGTTAAATTTTTAACTTCTTTCTTGGATATCAAATCGTTTTTAAATAATCTTGGGTTTAGTAAAACCAGGAAATTAAGCATTAATCTTGATATCCACCATTCTAAAGTTTTCAGCTCAAAACTGTTAAAGGACCCCGCTGTATATCGGGCATGGCCATCTTTGTAAGGAGGGATACTTGAAAAAATAAGAATTAAAATAATAAATTTTATATTTACTTTGTACTGCGAGTAAAGGATGATATATCTCTCTCGGGAGAAGTGGTTCAGGCAGGTCACGGAAAAATTCCTAAAAAAATATGATAGATAAAATAAAATTGTCAACCCTATAATTCATTTCTTTCAAAAATCCACATTGGGTTAAAACAAAAATGGTAAAGCTCTGATTTTATTTCAATAAAAGCAATATTACGTAATTTTGTTGCAATTTAATTCTTTAAACTTGAAGTATCTTTGTGCATAAATAAAAAGCTAGTTATTTCATTACTCTGTAAAAAAAATTCTTATTTAAGTAATCTATATGTATATAATTATAGTGTAATTTAACTAAAGTCAATACAATGATTTATTTAAAATTATGTAACTTGGCAGGTAGGGTAGCTTCAGTTCATACTTAAATTACATAGTTTGGTAAGTTGGATACCTTCAGAATTACTCTTATCTAAATTTTGTAACTTGGAAAGTAGGATTTCTTGAGATTTACGCTTAAATCATGTAACTTGTTAAGTAGGATATCTTGAGAATTACGCTTAAATTGTTTAATTAGGTAAGTAGGGCCTTGAGAATTATGCTGAAACTATGTAACTTGGTAAGAAGGATATCTTGAGAGTTACGCTTAAATTTTGTAAATTGGTAAGAAGGATATCTTGAGAATTACGGTTAAATCATGTAAATTGGTAAGAAGGATGTCTTGAGAAATACGCTTAAATCATGTAAATTGGTAAGAAGGATATCTTGAGAATTAAACTTAAATTATGTAACTTGGTAAGAAGGATATCCTGAGAATTACACTTAAATTATGTAACTTGGTAAGAAGGATATCTTAAGAATTACGCTTAAAATATGTAACTTGGTAGGTAGGGTACCTTGAGAATGGTTGCAACATCATGAGCACTCACATCCTCAGCAATAATTACATCTGCCCCACTGTCAAAATCCTCTCGAAGCTGAAAATATCATTTTCAAAAGAGAACAACATGGATATCTCATTCATTATTGATGAGACAAAGCTTGTATGGGTACAGTCACCACTTCTCTCTAAAACTGGAGACGTCTGTATTCAGGGATAGTATAGTATATAGTCTGTATTCAGGGATAGTCTGGATCCTTTGGTTACGAAATACAAAACCTTTAAAACTCGACTAAGTTAACACATTTGATGTTTTATGTTAAAAGTTAAAGTATTTCTTTAACAATTTAAAAACCTAACCCGTGAATGAGCATTGAGCATTATATGCAACAAATGGCCGTTAGATGGCAGGCAAAAAACCTTTCCTGGAACTGTAGCATGGCGTGCCGGGACACTATAGGCCTGCTAATCCTATCCAGGTAGAGCTTATGAGCAGTCTGTGTTAGTCTATGGTCTAAAGGTTCTGACCTGCCTAACCCGTTTCTTGCTTGTTCCAACTCTAAAAATGCCAACAGTGTGAAGACCATGAAGCTCCAGATATCTAAACAAATCACATATTTGGTTAATTGATTTCTAAAATTGGAGGATTAAATTGATTTTCTAAAATTGGAGGATTAAATTGATTTTCTAAAATTGGAGGATTAAATTGGTTTTCTAAAATTGAAGGATTAAATTATTTTCTAAAATTGGAGGATTAAATTGATTTTCTAAAATTGGAGGATTAAATTGATTTTCTAAAAGGAGGATTAAATGATTATGAGTAGATTTTGTAATTTAATATAAATCCTTTATTTGATGGTTTATTTTTACTTTAAAATTGATTGACAGATGTTTGAGTTGAGACAAAATTTACTGAATGACTTTGAGTTAAGAAACCTATTGATTAATTTATTTGATTTAAAGAAACCAATTGATTAATGGATTTTTGGTAAGGAAACCAATCGATTTATTTGTTGATTATAATTGATTTTAATTGCTCACTTAATGCATGTGTTAACTACGGATGGAATGTTGGGTTGTGGATTTATTCTATCTGGAATCTCTGATGGGCCCTCTAGTAATCTAAACAAATAAATAAGTTATAATCAGGATGTTGGGCTTGGGATTTTTCAAAGAAAGGAGATTTTGTAGACAGGCATTTTTGTCGCCATACTTCGCAAAGATGAACTTTTTGCGAATTTTTCTGTTTGAATGTTTAAATTTGTTGATTTTTTCAAATTCATCATTGCAGGTGCAGCCCCCCTTTCATGAGAAATGGGGGGCACCTGTCCTCTTGCACCCCCCTGGCTAAGGACTTGGCTAGCTGTAATGGTTGGGGTGCATTGGAGGTTTTAAGAAAAACTTTTAAAGTAGATCGGATAAATGTTGAAAATTTATATTTTTTAAATATTAACGTGTCAATGTTCCTACATCTATTTTAAAGGGCTTTTCAAACAAGTAAATTTCAGGTCTTTATATCTCAATTTAACCAAATAAAAAATATCTCAATTAATTAATTGATTTATAGAATAAATCACATTTACAGTTCTGTTAATCTCTAGATAACGGAATGGTCTTCATTTGATCAAATTACTGGTTTAAAGAGTATCGCTGTGAATTGGTCATGCCCAGCTTTTTAAATGGAGGTTCACTTACGAGAGTCCGTTTAGAAGGCTTTTAAATCTTTTGGAATCTTTAATCTATTAAGCAGAACAAGTGTAATTGTTTGAGACTTGCATTTTTTTTCCATTTAATCAGGGTTAACCACTGCTCTGCACACAAAATGCAATAAAACATTAACACAAAGAGACGTTCTAAAACAATCTTTAACAGACCAATACTTAATTGTTTACAAACGATTTAAGTGTACACTGAAGCAAAATAGCTGCCTAGGGAATCAACTATCATTCCCCTAGAAGACTCTGGAATATTTGCTTTGTAACAACATCAAATGGACTTCAGTATTGCATAAAAGTCATCTTCCTGTTCTACAGTTTTCAGAATATTCACAAGTTGACATGAGCCAAATTTTGATAAATTAGTCTACATAATAGATTCACAAAAAACCATCCGAATTGCGAGTTATACAATAAGATAAACGTTTTGAAATTTGTGTAGATTTAACGTGTTTAAATGTATTTAGATTTTTATATAAAAATTAATGAAAACAATTGAAAAAATCCACAAAATTCATAAAAACCGCGTTTGCTTTCTTAGGTTTATAATCTTTTTTCTGACCTGTCACAGCTTGTATAGGAGAGAGTATCCAACCCTGATTGAGAATCTGCCGCGTAGGATGATCGTCTTATATCCAGGTTTAAACTCTCCAAGCTACCCGTACTCTGAAATATATGGAAAACCGTTAATGAATATTAACATTTCAACCAATTTACTGAACAATTTAACAACAAATAGGTTTTTTCTAAAAATGATAAACATTTTGATATTTTAGAATTTAAATTCTGCTTTGTCAAATAGTCCAAAGGTCCAAATGTCACACGACAAATAATCATTTGCTTTAACTTTTGTTGGAAACCTATTTTAGCCTTATCTTACCCTATCCTGAAGTTTCTCCTTCTGAAGAGCATCAAAAATGGATCCAAAGGAGGTTCGACTGTCACTTCGACTCGATTTAGAAGTAGGAGATAAGATCTGAAACAATCATTGTCTTTGATCAATCAAATTATTGATTTCTTGACCTTGTCGATTAACTATTTTATAGTTTAGCTTTAAAGTGATTGATTTATGGATTTATAATTGATTTTTTTTTAAAAATAAACTGATTGATTCATTAACAGCTAGATAATAATTATTGATAATCAAAATTGATTTTATCTCAATGAAATAGGATTGATTATTAAATTGATATTTGATTAATTGATTTGCCTCGTCTGGTGGAATGTCTGTAGTTGACTTTTTTCTTGAGAGTTCTACGCATTGATTGATCGGTATACCAAATACAGCACCATCTCCTCCTTTCTTCAAGTCTAAACATTGATTCATTGATCGATCCATTGATTGATCAGTTTACCAAATACAGCACCATATAGGTAAATTTGTTTTAAAAAAGCAAACTTTTGAAAATTGTGCAGAGAAAGATTGTGTGTATCGATTCTGAAAAAATGTCATCAATTAAGCACATGTGAAGAAGTGCTTTCATGTTTTTTGGTCATCACTTTTTCCGTTTTTCCTTTTAAGCTTCATTAATTAGGGTAAAAGTAATCTTTAAACAATAACTAATACTCTCATTGTGACACAAAAAATAAAGTTAAAAAACACAAAAGTAAAAACAAATACTATGAACTTTCAGAATGCCTCTTTTCTTTTGCAAAGGTTGTGAAATCGAGGGGGGGGAGCTTAATTTTGTCTTACTGTGATGTTTCTACCCCCTTCACTGAAAGTCTGGTGTATGTATGTAGGTATAAGTTGAACTGTATGATTAGCCGGTAAATTGATCAATATCAAATATTTAATATATCTCACTCACCACCCCTTCCCCCCTTCCCATTTCCTCCCCCCCCCTCCTCTCTACTCCTTCCAACTCCTTTCCTTTACTTTTAATGTATCTCCTAAACTGATTACTCGAACCAAACTCCAATTTCAGAAATCCTTATTCTCTATTTTAGAAAATTTTAGAAATCTATCTAAACCCTGAATCCAATAATTTTACTAGAACTAGCCTACCTCGTAAAATTTACCTTATCCTCAAGTTAATGAATCGTTTAAACTAACAATTTCCGCTTTTCAAAATTGAAAATTTTGTTTAAATAAAAAATGCGCCAATTCAGCCAAATATTTCGAACCAAGTGTACACTAGAGCAGGTAAAGTATACAATATTTTCTTGTGAAATTCTGGAAAAGAACTAATCGTTTTTTAAATTAGATCTTGAAACATTCTTTAAAAAATGTTGTCAACTCTGTTCATTTCCATAGATAAGAAGGAAGGAAAGCAAGAATATCCTAGATTTTATAGTTAATGGTCATTCTTGGAGAACGCTTTCATAAATGTTGAAAGATTGCAAAATTGAATTACATTTGCGCTTAATAACTGGAGAAAAGTTCTGCAGACTGTGCACAAATTTATTTGCACGGGTATTCAACATATTAACTGATTAAAGTGTCAAAAAAAGTCTTATTTTATCTATAGGATCATTTCTAGTAATATTGATACTATTCTTTAACTGCTACTGCAGTCTCAAACTTATTTCTTAAAATGCAATCTGGTGATGTAAACCTTTGATATTTCAGTGTAAATATCACCATTTCGCATTTAGTTGCAGAGAAAAAGGATTTAGAAAATTAGAGTTTGAGGCAAGTGTTTGGTTTCTTTCACAGACTGTCCTGCTTTTTGAAATGAAATTGTCTAAATTATTAAAATCGACAAAAAAATATGATTCGGTCAATTTGACTTTTATAGAAAACTTCAAGTGAATCACTTTTTGCAATTATACACAGAACACGGATGAATACAGATAAATGATTGCGGCCATATTTTAATGGCAGTTTTTAAGAAATAGGAGCCAAAATTTAACCCGCCCCAAAAATTCCAACCGAAAGATTAAAAATTGTCAACAAACCGAAAGAGCATAAGCATTTCTGTTTGTTTGCACAAAAGCTTATTTTATTGCATATTAACTTGGAAACCCAGCTTTGCGTGACAATATAAATAGTCCGATATAACAGTCGACCAACTCACTCTATCAACCAGGCTTTATGAACATTCCAGTGATTCTTAGATGTTCCCCAATTCAAGTTTGAGTAAAATCGGTTAAGAGGGATATTATTTATAATCGGACATAAAAAAACTGACAAACTGATATATATATATATATATATTGTATTTAAATAAAACAATTTAAATAATTACCTTTATCTGGTTTAGGTCCAAGGTTTCCGGCGGAAAGAACTTTTTTCTTGAGTAAATTTGCTCTTTTCCTTGTCTTAGACACTTCGTTACGTTCCTTCATGTCTAAAACATATAATGTCAGAATTATAAATCAATATTTACAAACAAAGCTAATTTAGAGTAAGCTAGCGTTGAATTAAGTTCAGCTTTTTAGCCGTTGTCTTAGCAATGTTACAAATAATCTGAAACTTTTTCAGATTTGAGCACTTTCCTATCTTTACAAATTATAATTGTAAAAACCTTTGATATTTTAAACTATAACATCAGGTTGCAAAGCTTTCTGGTATTTAAAGAATAAGGTTTTATGAATCTGTTCCTGTGCCAATTATAATTATATATAGTGACAATAATATTAACCGTATAATATTGACAATACTATTGACAATAATATTGACAATATATTGTCTCTGAAAAAAGTGTTATATCGATGACCCCCCCCTTTTATGGACATTGGTTAAAATTCTAAACACTTTTTAGTACTATAAACCAACGATATTTAGTGGGCGTAAAAAGTATAAAAGCACTTTTTTTGACACACTGTATATATATATGTGAATGTGCAGGAGAATGAATTAGTGTTTTAGTTTTCTATTCTAGAATGTTCTTAATTCACCGTGTCTAAGGGGGTCTTTAAGGAGTACAGGAAAACTATCTCTTATTCATCATTTTACAACTCTCAACCGTGAACTTTAACTCAATTTTAAATACTGAATTTTTAAATACAAATTATTTCATTTTTTGGGCTTTACATATATTCAAAATTTCGCTTTATTTGCAGGTGGCTTATGAATGAAAATTATCAGAAGGTTTAAATTTCACAAAATTCGTACATACTTTAAGACTCTAATTTTGTTTCGTATAATTAGTTATAAAACACCTTAACTAAAATAGATTTAATGCAAGATTGAAATCTTTCATGTTTTCAATCATAACTCTTCTTACAAAAGATTAAAAAGGTTTTTGAATTTCTAATACGTATCCGAATAAAGGAACTGAGTTTTTGCCACAAATTCTGATTTTCTAATCCCTATATCTTTTCATTCTGATGATGTAAACCTTTGATTTTTCAAACTATCATTATTTGATCAAAAAGAATTTATAGTTTGAAATATCAAAGGTCTCCGATATATGCTTATAAAGAAATAGGGATTAGAAAATCAGAGTTTCTGGCAAAAACTTAATTCCTTTACTTGTCTTATTCATGAACGTTATAAAACAAAAGCTGAGAGAAGATACGAGGTCTCAATGTCGGACAAATAAGTTAAGACGTCACTTCACAGTTAAATATGTATCACTAAATAATTTAGATTTTTTTCTCAATAATAATCAATATAATTGAATCGCTTATTGACTTATATATCCTGAGGCCGAATTTTAAGTATTTTAAGGGCGGCTTAAATTTGAGACGCGGCTCAAATATGGTTGGTTCCACTTAAAATTGTATTCAATGTTTCAAGATTTAAGCAGGCGCTCAATTGAAACCGGTTTTTGGGGGCTTTGAGACGCGGCTAAAATTCATTAAATTCGGACTCTGATCTTTCTAAATAACGATTTTTGCGCTGTAAAAGTAACTTGCTGATTTATGCCACAATAACAATGAAGAAAGTTGTAAAATTAATTACTTTTCTGGCACGCAAATCTGCCCCTTTAGTTAAAGTAAATTCAGTCTTATGAAGCATGACCACGTTAACCTTGTTGCACCGCCTAGTCCTAGGCTAGAGCTAGGTATAGTACAAACTGGGACCGGAAAGGCTGACCCGGCTCGGAAATTCAAATGTACTACGGCTGCCCGTGCTAGATTAAAACACGACGTATCTTCCTCATTATTACTCAGGATCGGACACACGAGTATTTTCTTGGAAACCTCGCGGAGGGATTTCTTCGTAAAAATATTCTAAAGAATTCTAAATGTTTACAAATAATGCCTGGAATTCCGGGTATAATATAATCTATAATAGGGCTAGGACTATAAAAATACCGAGTTAAGGATCTATGAAATTGTATATAGTGTCCACCGTGAAGGTATAAATCAATGGAAGACATTTTCTTCTCAAAACAACAACATCAAAAGGGGAAAATACATAAACAAGAAAATCTACTAAATTGAAAGTTAAAAGAATCGAAAAGTGTTTTTTGTTTTGTTTAAATAACAGTTTGCCTGTATAACAGTTTACCTGTATAACACTTTGCCTACATATATAACAGTTTGCCTATAAAAATTTGAGTGTATTTTTTGCCTAAACCATGACTTCTTGAAACACTCACTTAAACTTTGAAACCATGGAAAACCCGCGAAACTGATTTGAAATATGTGATAATTCAGTCGGACTTTTTCTCTTAACAATATATGGCAGCACTTAGACAAGGAGGGATCAAAATTCTCTCAAAATTGAATAAACAAAGCTTTCTATGTTATTTAGGATTGCTTTTATTTATTAACCATTAGGATAACAAGAATTAAAAATCTGAATTAAAAATAAATCAATTTCACCTTTTGGTATTCGGATGATGGTTCCCAGATCACAAGCTGCCAAACCACTCTAGAAATAAAATTTGATGATTTTTTCCAGAATCAATGTTTTAGTTATTTACAAAGAGAATAGAATATACTACTACCTGAGCTAGTTTCTGAGGAATATCCGTTCTATCTCTAATAGATGAAGGAGGTTGAGTCTACTGTACTGTCTACTGTCTACTACCTGAGCTAGTTTCTGAGGGAATATCCGTTCTATTCCTAGTAGGCGAAGAACGGTTTAGTCCATTGTACTCTCTACTGTCTACTGCCTGAGCTAGTTTCTGAATGAATATCCGTTCTATCTCTAATAGATGAAGGATCGAGGGTTGAGTCTACTGTACTGTTTACTTTCTACTACCTGAGCTAGTTTCTGAAGGAATATTCGTTCTATTTCTAGTAGATGAAGAAGGGTTGAGTCCTGAAGGAACACCTGCTGACCAGTAACATGCTTCCAACTACAGTCATCCTAGAGTAACAGTTGTTACAAAATTCCTATGGTGTCACAAAGAATCCCCTCACCCTCCATAGTCTTACTTATTTATTTCTCCCTATAAACCTAAACATATCTTGATTTATATTTATATTCATGTAGAATTTATTTTATTTTTATTTGATCTCCTGTGATCAGATATCAATCCTTCCCCCAGTTTTTTCCCTGTAATTGACGTATTTTATATGGCAAGTTTTATTAGCACTCTCAGATATGGATAATTTATATTTAACTAGAACTAGAACTAGACAGTTACTGTAGGTAGATTCCAGGTAGATTCCATGTACTTTCCATGTAGTTTCCAGGTAGTCTCCAAGTAGTTTCTAGATAGTTTCCAGGTAGTGTTCAGGTAGTTTCCAGGTAGTGTCGAGGTAGATTCCATGCAGTTTCCAGATAGTTTCTAGGTAGTTGCCAGGTAGTGTCGAGGTAGTTTCCAGGTAGTTTCCAGGTAGTTTATAGACAGTTTCCATGCAGTTTTTCGGGTAGATTCCAGGTTGTTTCCAGGTAGTTTATAGCTAGTTACTGGGCTAAATGTATCTTGTAGTTACAGAAATAAAACTGTTGAAGGAGAATTATATGGAAATATTTATATAAACGGACAGACATTGATTATTTTCTCTTCAGCTTCCATGCTGTTATATGCAAGCAGGCGCTTGTCCATATAATAATGCCT